CCCACGTCGTATGGATACGATAGTAAAATACGACGTGCAGATAGGGTTAACACAGTTTTATGTAATTACAGAGACATGACATGATTCAGTGTCCCTCTCTGATTGGTTGATACAAAGATAACACACCCAGTGGCCAAGCTGAAAGATGAAAAGTGGCGCTATTGAAATTGAATTAGAAGTGTTTTCTTTTTTTGCAACAACATTCCCAGTTGTTTAGTTTAATAATAAGCACTGTATGCTTCCCGGGAAGTTGAGATTTTTTGCAAAGTGCCATTAAGCCTGCTGAGGTAATAGTTTACTGCAAAGCGCATAGAGCTTGCTGTTTGAATTTGTGCTATACCTAATGCTATCTATTATTGTAGTAATGACTGCATTCATATGACGTATATCTACGCTTACAACATACTCTATGCGTTTTATAACTGTTCGTTTACTTTGAGGAAGGACAACCGATTCTGACATACATCCACATAGCTACGTTGTGTTGAACAAATAGGAAGCCAGACAAAAAGAGCAGAGAAGGAAACAGTTATGCAGTTGCGAGCGCCGTAAAACCTCTACTAAAACTAACTAACTAAGAGAAGGTAACAAAGTGAAATAAGTAAGACCTAGACCTAGATCTACCAGCGGTTAGCTCCCGCTAACTACTCTCTTCTCTCTTGCATAGAATAGAAAGTCCAGGCAGCCTTGAGAAGTCTAAAAAATTCCCTCACTTATCTTATCATTGAAGAAACAAGACGCATGGGCTTATTATCGGTTTATACTTACGTGCGAAGCTAGCTCAGACATTCTATTGACGTTATTCACGACTTTATCATCCTCTATTGTTATCCAGAAGACAATGCTTTCGATTAGGCTACCTGCTCTCAACACACCCAATGAGTAATTTCAAAGAGGTGATTAATATACAGGTACAATATATATTCCAAAGTCTAAAACAGCATAAAGTGACTCCATATATCATATATTACATGAAAACGTATATCATTCACACACACACACACACACACACACACACACACACACACACACACACACACACACACACACACACACACAGACAAACTGGCAAACAAAGAAATAAAAGCGACCACCAATAACAAGAACAACAAT